TTCATACTGTAATTACTGTAGTGTCAGTGTATCCATGACTACATTACACTCTATTAGTACTGTGATGTCAGTGTATCCATGTCTACATTACACACTGTTAGTACTGTGGTGTCAGTGAATCCATGTCTACATTACATACTATCAGTACTGTGATGTCAGTGTATCCATGACTACATTACACACTAAAGTACTGTGGTGTCAGTGTAGCCATGACAGCATTTGACACTATTTATTTATCATATGTTAATCTAGGAACCAATATTTATCAAATATGAAAGTTTATGTACTTACGCATATTTGTAGTAAACTCTTGTCATGTGTCCAAACCGTTCATGTCCTGCAATATCCCTGTAAAAAGGAAATTGACCGAGACATTTTATGATTTTAAAAATGATATATATATATCAGCAAATTTTGATAACCCTAATTATTACAATCATGAACTGGTATAACGTATATCTCTGCAGTGTTTGAGTGACTGGACTTACATAGACACTAAAGGAACTACACAGCAACTAGAGGTCTGCTGTACTTAGTAAGGCTGTTAAGTTTACCTCAGTAATCAGTAATTGTTTAGGTTAGTATGAATAACACACGGTTTTCCCTCCCCCCCCNAGTTTTGACTGTTTCATCTTCAATATGTAGTTTTATTTTGAGTGTCAAATTTTGTATCAAACAGAAGTTGGAATTGTTATATATTCACTCACAAATAATGACATTTATGTGACCACTGCTTTCTTGCCCCTGAATGATAAACTTTGTTGTCATAAGTTTCTATTCCCACAGCATGTGTTTATTCATAGTCGCAAAAACCTTATCTAGAGGATTGACTGAAGAGCGTTCATCAGATCTGAATCAACTAATTCTGCTTGTGTTTACATGTTGAACAGGAGAGGGACATCCGACGTCTAGATGGCACACTAACCAACTGAGCTACACAATGTATGTGGCCTTAATAACTCAGGGCAGTCATCCAGCTCAACCCTGCTACACATCTCTCTCCCTCCAAGTCCTTACTCCCAAAGACAACAACACTATTTACAACTCAGGACAGAATATCCCCATTGGTAAACATACACCCAGTATATGACACAAGGGTTGGTCAGAGTACCTACATGTATGTAACAGGAGGAGGAAAATGCAATGGGGCCAGACTGGGATTTGAACCAGGGACCTCCAAACTCTAGACAGATGATTTAAACAATTGAATCATCAGCAGTAACCCAGGCCAGTCTTGCTATACACATGCAAAGCTATGTGTCCTTTGGTACAATCAGGTAATTGACAACAGCTGTTCAGTGGCAAAACATGTAAGGAAAATTATGTTTTTCAAGTTGATATCTAAAATTAGTTATAAGTTACTACTTGTTCATTATCACACAATTTGTTAATAATTAAAGTAGTTAATAGCTCTTTTTAATCACACAGTTCCGGTCACTGTTAGGTTCCGTAACAATCAATTATCCAGGTACAGCATTTTCTAACTGTGCCTGCCTGAAGAATTTAGAACATATAGTTCAGCCAGAGAAAATTATACAGACTGTAATGGCATAAAATGTTGTTATAATCAAGACAATATATATGTAGCTAAGACTATAAATTTAAGTGTGATGTTTCTTTATATTTTATTTTTTTGTTAGATCAAGATTGTTTAATTCACTACTTGTTCATTATCACACAATTTGTTAATAATTAGTTAAAAGCTCTTTTTAATCACACAGTTCCAGTCACTGTTAGGTTCCATAACAATCAATTATCCAGGTACAGCCTTTTCTAACTGTGCCTGCCTGAAGAATTTAGAACATAATAATTAAGTTCAGCCAGAGAAAATTATACAGACTGTAATGGCATAAAATGTTGTTATAATCAAGATAATATATATGTAGCTGATACTATAAATTTAAGTGTGGTGTTTCTTTATAAAAAAAAAATTGTTAGATCAAGATTATTTAAGAATCAATTTGCATACATGTATGTGTGCATGTATGTAATGGAATGTAAGGAGGGTGAGAAAATGTTGAGAAAAAAATATGAAGGCTGCTTCAGCCTAAGTTAATTATGTTTAAGCATTATTTAATCTCATTTATATCTTTATTTTGTATACAAACATGTGTTGATGATATCTATTCTTCCATGTTAAAAGGTACAATACAATGTGCTTTTTGGTTAATACCTTTTAGGTGTTTATAAAGCGAGCGATCCAGATAATCCAGTTATTTAATGCATAGGCTGTCCATATGCATGTGCAAATATTTTTCAAATGATGCCTTGTTTTCATTTCATCAACAACTCATGTACTGACACTAGTTTATTGATTCTACCAGTTAATTACATGCATGCACATGCACACTTTAATTTGTAGCCACACTTATATTTAATTAATACATTTTACTTTATCAAAGAGAGATAACTCTTACCCACCAAAGTTGCATGTTGACTTTTGTGTTGTCATCCCAAACCATAGACTTCAATGCAAAATCTACACCAATTGTTAATTTGTAGTTGGGAGAAAATGTTCCTAAAATTTAAAGGAAGAAACTTTTAAGATAAACTTATTATAGCTGTTAGATGCTCAATAGTGATGAAAAATTAAAATGTAATTGAAGAAAATCTGCTTCACTGTATATATAGTTATAAGGTTGAAGATGAAAATCACAACTTGTCTGCTTTAACAAGGCCTAAAATACATATTGTTTGCCTAAATCCAACTGACATGGAAAAAAACACCTCATGTTATTGATATTTTAAGTTTTTACTTTTATTATTCCAAAAATATGGTCAGTGATCTGTTCTGTTATTTGTTATCTTTGTGTTAAAGATCTCAGTCCCACTAGACGCAAAACATAAGAAAACTCCATTTTGGCTTTTAGTATGATACATACAGTTTCGATTTAGGCAAACACAAATTTTATTAATATTGACCCAATCTTTCAATATTTACATACATATTTAGTAGCTGTTATACCATTTAACACAAAAACACAACCTTTTTGGATTGAACAATTTTTTGTAAGTAAATCATGCACTGTTATGTTAATGTATATATTTATATTCTAAAAAAATGCAATGAGTCATTCAATTGTACAGCTTCTCTAGTTGTTCAGTGTTATATATAACTGCATCATCACAGATCAACATAAACAGAACGTCACTTCAAAAATTAGTCATTTGAGTGATAATTATAAGCTATTTACAATGTTATTTAATTTATAAAGCAGACTAAAAAACCCAACATTGACAACTATCAAAGTGGCAGCATAACCAAGTCACTTGCATATATAGTGCTATGAATGCAATTCATTTTTTTATTCATGTATAAGTGAGCATGCTATGAAATGTTCAGTTAAATCAGATAATAAGCAAAATAGTATTTTGTTTACAACTTAAAGTAGATATGGTGCCATAAAAAGAAATATGTATATGTATATATATAATAATATGCATACATACCTTCTGTATATCTTCTGATGATGGAAGTCTTTCCTTGTAAAACAATAAACAGGGGATATTTATTTATCAGAACTGACATTTTTTGCATCTAACTTAGCTGGTTATCCTGCCACTACACTACTTCAGTGCCATACATTAATTACATCACATATAATCACCCTTTAAAAACCTTTAAGTGACTAATAGAAGTTCAAGATCCCTGTATAATATACATGTATGTAAACACATTTATCATCATTATTATGTATAAGCATATTGTCTGGCTCACCAACAGTACAAATGTAACAGGAGAGGAAAAATGCACGGCCAGACTGGGGTTCGAACCCGGGACTTTCCGAATTTTACATGGACGCTCAACCAATTGAGCTATCTGGTCGCTGACGATCGACCCAGTCCAGTTCCGCTACATTCCTCCCTCCTTTTTTTAAGTCTTTGCCATCGAAGACACAACTATTTACAATGTAGGTTAGGGTATCCCCTTGCCAAGCATACACCAAATGCTTGACACAAGGGTTGGTCACAGGCACCACTGTAACAGGAGCGGAAAAATGCACAGCCAGACCGCAGTTCGAACCCAGGACCTTCTGAACTCGAGACAGACGCTCTACCAATTGAGCTATCTGCATGATTACCGAAGATCGACCTTAGTGAGTCCATTTTCGCTACATTTCTCCCTCCTTTTTCTGAATCTTCGTCCTTCAAAAGCACAACTAGTTACAACTCAGGTTCAGGCTAAAACTCAGGTTCAGGTAATCCCCTTGGTAAGCGTTCTCCCAATGCTTGAAACAAGAGTTTGCAAGCTCGCCACTTTAGTAACAGGAGAAAGAGAAATGCAACAGCCAAACTGGGGTTTGAACGTGGGAGTCAGGACCTTCAGAACTCTAGACGGACGCTCAGGCAATTGAACTATCTTGTTGCTGACTATCGACCCAGTCTAGTTCTGCTTAACACAAAAAGATAATGTACTTCATAACTACAAACAATGTTACATTGTAGTTTATTCAGCACAACTAAATAGCATACTCAGATTTCGCACCAAATATACCTACATGAAATATAAAGAAAATATCAACAAAAATTAACAAATGTTGAAAAATAGATTCTATACCTAAAAATTTAGCCATAAGTACGCACTAACAGGCTGTAATAACATGTACATATGTACAAAGTAGCATGCACTGTTATATATGTAGGTTAACGATTAAAAATGCATCAAACCAGAGGGGCCGATTGATGTCCCTTTTGAATCTCATTTATTCCAATTATTTCCAAATGAGACAAGTAACAAACAATACGATTAATAAATAAACGCATGATTTTAATTTTTGCATATATACTACATAGTAACGTATCGCCTGCCATAAACAGGAAGCAGGAAGCGTTTCACATACTCTCACGGTCTTGTCATGTCGAATTATATCGTTTTCCCAATTCAAATAGAACAAATCAACACATACAATCGTTCTATCAACCACTTACCTACTCCAAATTCTCCGATCACCAATATTTTATATAAATGTTCCTGATTATTGCCAGGTGTCGACGCCGCCATCTTGGATTATCATGTGACCTGCATGTACTGTAGGTCATGTGATCGTGTAATGAAACGAAAGAAGATTAAGGTCCCTGTACAGTAAATCACTTGCCGCCTATCCTCCATCCTCTTCCCTACACACACACACACACACCACACACACACAATGAATAAATAGATATATAAAATAAATGTCCACATGATGTTAACAGACTTTTCAATCGTAAAGTTTTAGTTATTTTTAGCAAAGCTTCTTTTGGATTATTATTTGCTTTTATTTTTCCATTCTCTAGATAATCAGATTTGTTTCAAACCGGTAATTCAACCGAGAATAGACTTTATAAATTGTTTATAAAAACAAAAACGTATTTGCAAAAACAAAAATTTTGAAAAAAAAAGGTTTTGTTTGATTGTTACCAGATCGACTTTTCTCAAGATGGAATCAGAGACGTATAATATGTCTCTGATGGAATCTACTGAAACTTTCCTTCATTTTTGGAGAAAAAATGTTGAAATGAAACATCTCTTAAAATTAGCGATTTTATATACATTTTGTATTTAAATCTAATATTTCCAACAAAAACAATAACCTACCTGCTAAATTGTCGATGGGCCGTAAAACAATACAACAACAAAAATACGAATACAAAATACCTACTGAAAAAAAAAATGTGTGAAGGAAAAACTAGAAACAAGCATTATTTAATTAAGGATTGCCCAATTCGTATATATTTAGTTATATATACTTCCGCAAACCGCACGTAATAATTTATCTGATTTGCATAATTGTTATTTAATTTGTTTGTATTCAATGAGAAGGCATTGATATTATAAGTTGATATAATTGTGTCTAATCCTTTGCACCAAAAATAAGGTAACAAATGGGTTTATACTAAACATCTATATAAACGTGATATCTTATCTAGAGCATTTCCTGGTGGCCTTGAATTTGCAGGGGCGGGTCCAGGTGAGGGCGTATTCGACTCTGCGATTAGTATCCATTGTTGTTGAACACGTGATATAGTGAAATCGTCAAAGATGTCGACGTCAAAACAAAAGCGTCAAAAGACCTTAAAATCATCTCAAGATCCATCCAATCATTTTAATATACCATAGACAATTAATGGAGAGAATTCGGCATAAAAAAATGTCAAACTCTGACACTTTGATTAAAATATACATGCTCCAAGTCAGGAACCGTTACATTAGTGCATTTCACAATTATTTTAATTTTTTTAGCCAAAAAAAGGTCAAATTTTTTTTCGCCTCGCTCCGCCCGCCCAAATATTTGATTCTACCTCTTTCAAATATCCTAGAATAGCCCCTGAATTGTGTAACATTGCCATGCACATAACATGATACTCCAATATTTTTATTTCGAATTTAGATCTGGTGACTGACCTCTAGAATTTAAACTCGCACAAAATTATAATATCCAGTTATTGTACTGAAGAAAAAGGAGGGGTGGCACGAAAGAGAATCAATCCTGGGATGGTGCGGAGACTGCCACAGTGGGCAACGTGAAATACATATACAGGTACAAAGATGTTCCGACAGACCGTGGGAAAGGATGAAAGGGTGGTTCGGTGCAGTGCGAAGGATTCTTAGTCTCGGGTTGGGCACCATGCACGGAGTCACATGTTACCGGAAGATATCGGAATCGTAGGGATACCGGAATAAACCCAGAAAACCCAGGATAAACCGGAATATCAGGCGAGTTGAGCTCTGTGTTTCGTACTACTCAAATATATGATTTTCAGTATTTTCTTGGTCCCAAATGGCCGATAAAAGCTCAAGTTAGAATTTTGAGTATTGATTTCTATTGAAATATAAATTTCCATCTATGTGGAAAACAAAAATAAATTCTGCAGCATTTATGTATCGTATATATCGAGTTATGGCCGGTTTCGTAATGATCTATGATGTGTTGCTATCTGGTGAGCCTTGGCAGAGTCTTTCAAGGCCTGTATTTCCCCCATAGTGTTTACTTTTAAAGGTAGATGAACAGGTGTGTCCACATAAACGAATAGGCGTCCGGAAACAATAAGAGTTACCTCCCTTTATTTTAGAGCTACATCAAAAGTTATCAACTGAATGCTTAGTGTTATCACGGAATTAGATCTAAGTCCGTGGTGTTATGATGATAGGATTGAACAACATGTTTAACTGAAGTCTAGCAATAAATGATAAGTTGGTGTAAATGAATACTTTTATTTTGAATAAGCATGCAGTGATCTTGATTGAACAGAACAATTTAATTAAATGATAAACCAAACAGACAAACAGTGTAAAAGTTCAGGTATAAAATCGAATCGAGGAACTATAAACTGAAGCAGACCAAAGCAGTTTGTTTATATCGAACAACTATATTAAATGTTCTTTTAACTGGTTCAGTGGGGATAACGCTATCTTATCTTTTGAAATGTTTCCGATTTTGTCGGTGCGCTATTTCATCAATGCGCAAATCTGTTAAAATTTAAAAATGTCCTAAAATTTGAGTGCACTAAAATAGATACGTTCACAGTATTTACCACACTTCATGGCCGTTCACTATAACATAGATATGTAAACAGAAAGTATCCACAGAAAGAATATGGTAAAAAAAAAAAGTAAGGCAAATGTAAGCATGTGGTTTTATTAACAGATTCACGCAATTAATATGTGCAGCACGTTTTAACCATGAAGTAACAACCGACAGTATATTGTATCTTGTTGTTCCATACGGCAGTCAATCGTTGAGGACAGAGTGTCGCTAAGACAAAGGTGATTGTCCATGGGCAGATTGCATTCAGTCCGTAGTAGAAGTATTCTGTATACGTTATCCGTAGTACATACTTATGCACAAGTATTCCGTACTACATAATAATGTATTCCGTAGTGAAAGTATTTGCCAAACTCTACACAGATCCCTCCACGTCCACCTTGCGTCGTATCATCAAGACTCCGTCTCGAATAGGAACCAATACCTGTTAATTAATATACAGTGTACATTTTTACAGTGTAAATTAACTAGAATTAACGTGCAACGTAAAGTCACAGGGATTAATATACAGCGTAAAATCACATAGTTAATACACAAATGACTATGTATATTGTAAAGTCACGTGGTTAATATACATTGTAAATTCACATGGTTTGTATACAGCGTTAAGTCCAGAACTACCATATATGTAGGTACATGTATAATGTTTTCCTACTTATTTTGAAAATACATGAACATTGGAATCTCCAGTTAATCAGCTTTATCTAGCACTATTGCTGATATCAGAGTTAAGCATTCTTCAGAAGTCGTCTTCATTATCACTTTACCAATTACCAACAACAACGTCCTTAAATGACATTGGCTGTTAATAGGACGTTAAATTAAATAAAATCAAACTTAAACCAAACCAACAACCCATCAATGACACCGTAACCACGGTAACCAACCAGCCACCTATCAACGAATAAGATATTCCACTAATACCAAAGCTACGGGTAAACGGAAACAGCACCACCTACCTGGTAAACATCGTCGTTCTTTGAAATGAATTCGTTGAATTTTTGTGTACTTTGACCATCAAACCTCATTTTCTCCTTGAGATATGGAGATCCTTGGAACAGGGCATTGTCCATCAGAATCGTCCCTCGTGGAGACAGCATGTTGTTATCCATTATCGACTAAAGAGAACAAAAAAATAAATTAAACTTTAATTTGACAAGCTCCACTGTCGGCCCCAAGCTGGACGTACATTAGATATTTAATTGGACCAGTGCTGAAGGTTTGTGATATTAACATTTTCTGTTCCCTATCAGTAGAGAATAATTGAAATAATGAATACCAAGTGATGAAATAACAATGATCAGGTTTTGAATCATTCTAATAAAATCAATAGAAAACACTGTATAAATATCATGTTATGAAATGATTACGTACATATCTTTTAATTTACTGATTGAAAACGCAGATGATTTTTTTTTTTGTGATCAACATGTTAACAAGATAAAATGATAAGCGTTTTATGTTTTTTTTTTTTTTATTTTCATACTGAAATACAAAGAGAAAATGTAAATACCTTATGAATACAGTTTTGTGAACGGGTGAGGTTTTTATGCGGGGAAGGGGGCGGGGCTGTTTTATAATGGCCTCCCATTCGTTATTGTATTTTTTGTTTACTGGGGGTTTTTTATTCAGAAAAAAATAATCTTTTTCATTATATTTTCAATCAAGGCATGCAGTTTTAAGGTGACGTTGCGATTCACAACAGCATTCAACCGATATTAATCAAATTTTGTTCCATGAGAGCGTTCCTTTTTATGTTGTTCACAAAATATTGAATTTGACTTTGTGAAGGGTATTTAGCCAATAGAATGCTCGTATTTTATCACAGGACTATCCTTTACCAATATAAAGTTGTTTAGAAAAAGCACAGATCGTCTGCTGGATAACCGAACTACTCGGTACTAAAGCGAACGTAAAACCACTCAAACAAACAAACAAACAAACGAAAAGTACACAGATATAAAATGTAAACAACTGACTATCAAGTTCAGTAATCACATAAATATCTTTTATTATCTTACCTCGAAGTAGCTGAAGTAATCGTCTTTATTGGCATCAAGAAATATGATGTCAAACTGTTCTCCATTTTTCGCTAATTCCTTTATTGTCGCGAGAGCTGGTCCTGTAGATTAAAAACTTTGGATTTAGCGCAAAAGAGGACCAGTCAACGTATAGTTAATTTGAAATAATGACGACATTGTCATTCTATTACTATTTTTAAACTATCTAAACATTCCTCAGACACTAAAATGAAACATGATATATTACATGCGTTTTCTTTACCGACTGCAGGTACGTTGTAAAATTGGATAAAACTTTTTACATTAATGGTTTGTTAGGCTTACCTCCCTTGATTATTACTTTCTTTCCGTGCGGTGATTGGTCCAAATAACCTCGAGCAAGATCTTGAAGGTATGGAAGAAGTTCACATGAAACAACAACACCATCTGCCGGAAGAGCCTCCGCCATTGTTAAAGCACCACATCCGGTAAAAAGTCCTACTTCTAAAACCCTCTTAGCGTTGCTCATGCTCACAAGAGTTTTAAGAAAATTCCCTGAAAGAAGACATTTTGTATAGACTCGCTGTTAACTTTTACTTTAAAAAAAAAGTAATAAAAAACAAAAACAAATGAATATAATAAAATAAGATGTTATGTTTCCGTATAACGATGTTATTTTTTTTTTAGGAGATATGTCCCGAAAAAAAGGGTAATAGGTCAAAATATAGGTCACTATGTTATACTTTTAGTACACGACAATGTTTCCCCAGATATGTATGCATAAAAAATATATTATTAGTCGAGGTGAAATAGGTGGCCGAATTGTCCCGGACAAACTGTTTCAATAATTGGGATCAAATATCACCATACAGGTCACAGTGACCTAATTTTATTTACGCGCCATTCCACTATCCTACGATATTTACTCTAGGTGGGGAAAAAATATAGGATACATGTGTATACCTGTAAAAAATCTATTGGGCAGAAAGACGGATAAGATATGGAAATCAGAATACGGATGTATCCCGCAAACCATAAAACCATCCAGTGCCAAACACTAATTTGGTCGGGAACTAAACAGCTAAAAACACTTCACAGTAAATCTAACCAAATATTCAGGATAACATAATTCCATTTGAACATCAATTAGTTTACCTTCTAACTTTCCCGAAACCATCATTGGAGACAAGTTGGGAATAGTGCCCTCTTTGCTGAGCTTTTTCCAAGGGTGTTGCATGGTCTGCTCCATCACATAACGGACACCCTAACTGACTGGAGAAGACATATTGTCGCAGTACTCCTCTCGGGTCTGACAACAATGAAACAGTATTAAACGTTAATCAAATAAACTAGTTCATATGCTACGCCCACTATAGATGATGTTTGAATAATATATGGCATTACACTGTAATTGAATTGAAGCAAACTAGGTTTCATACATACACAACAGATCAATTTAATTCAAACAGAACGACACCAAAATCAATGTAAACGATTTGAAAATAACAGCACAATTTTAAGCTATTACAATAACGAACGGGAGGCCATTAAAATTGCTATACTCTCGTAAGATGAACGTAAAACAAACGCTTATACAGTATTCCAAAAAAGAATGACCTTGCAGCTTTTACGTCCGTTAAAGACTCATCAGATATAATAGGGGCTAAACAGGTGGAAATCCAAGTTAGTATTAACTAATAACTAATAAATGTAAAACAAAGCACACCAGGTAAGTTGTCCTTACACTTTGAATAGTCAATGCTTGTCGTATCGTGTTTGGGCTTTGTAAACCGCTTGCTAGTGTTGAATTACAATGTAATCATTCTAAAAATATGACTTTTTTAAAAAGAATTTACATGTACTTATCTGATAGTTTCACGGTCTGATAGTTTCATGGTCATTGTCGTGACAATCGTATTAAATAAATGTGTTCCTAGTCACTCACCAAGAAGCTGTGAAGACACTTCTGGATTTGTGTCTGGACCTCCTCAGGAACTCCGTGCTGTTTAGCCAGGTCCTCCAGTTGCCATAGGTTTCTGACGGTAGGATCCATGTGATAACGACCGGACTCCATACTTACTGATGTCTCTGCTGAATCGTAGTAACACCGTGATACTGTAGTGTCAAATAACAAATTCTACTGTTAAGACATTTTATTTTCAATATCAATCAGAACAAGCTCTGTGTGTAACGAATACCAAACTACAATGGCAAATAACAGTACTTTTTTTTCGGAACATTTGTGATCCTATATTTCATTACTTAAAATGAATATGATAACTGATGATAAGATCTATAATATGATCTTAAATGGATTTCCATTTCATATGAGAGCTATAAGGAGAAAATTGTGGCGCGTTTCATTTTATTTCATATAAATCATATAAAAAGTGAAACGTGTTTAAGATTTTTTTACTGCACGTTTGTATTTGGATAAAATGTATCCATTCATTGTCGCCATTGTGACGTCATAATGACATCTGGAAGTCTGTGGCATCATTTCATTCAGTTTTATTGTTACATGGAGGTTAACGAGTTTCTTCTATATAAAGTAAATTATGCTATATTTTATATATATATATGTATTATTTTACATATCCTATAAAGTGTATACAACCATTGAGAGAGAGATTTGTATTCGTATATAAGATATTTCCTTTACTATTTAGAAACACTCTGGAAAAATCATGGTGGTCTGTTAACACGCGAATTTTAGAATGTTCGATAATATGCAACATTGTACATTATACATTTTGAATAAACCACAATGCTCAAAAGCCTCAAATATCATTCCTCTCAGCACTATTACTAAATACTAAAAGACGCGTTTAGAAGGCTGCTTAGGTCAGAAGTGAATTTCTCGTTCTTTGAGTACTGCATTCCACCTAGGATCATATATAGTATTCGGGAGATACTTCCTATTCCGTCTTTTCGTATTGCAGAGTTATCTGCCCTTGTGAGCAGGTATTGATTGTTACGTCATTTGTTTGTGAGAGTATAACGTCATCAATTTTTTAGAAAACGACGTAAGTTTCTCACACAAACCAATGACGTAACAATCAATACCTGCTCACAAGAGAAGATAACTCTGCAATACGCAAATACGGAATATATACAACAGTGTAAAACATTACCTGTCTGATACATTATAACAGACAACAATATACAGTGTAATCTAATGAGTGAACATCCTTCATGCGGGAAATCAAATAATGGAACACAAAGAAAGAAAATTAAAATACAAACCAATAAAAAAAAAAAAAAAAAAAAAAAATAAAAAAAAAAACAAAAAAAAAAAAAAAAAAAAAAAAAATGTACCAAATATATATATATATATATATATGCAAACTTACGATGATGAAATGGCTCGGTTTGGTTTGGTTTGTTTTGTCTGTAACAGCTAAGGTCATTTAAGGACGTGCCACTATGACCTCACTGTGACCTATATGCTTCCTGACATAAGTGCACTGTTTGTGTATAGAAATTCTTACCGGTGGCCATGGGGGTCTATGGATTGCCTTGCAATACTTTGCCTTGTTGATAAATATTTTCTATGCACAGTAGATCCTATTTCTTTCTTTTTGTCTTGAGAAAAGTTTGCCTTAAAGGGAGCAGGCGATATATCGACAAGGGTGTTAAAATAATAGTAAATAAAGGGAGCAGGCGATATATCGACAAGGGTGTTAAAATAATAGTAAATAAAGGGAGCAGGCGATATATCGACAAGGGTGTTAAAATAATAGTAAATAAAGGGAGCAGGCGATATATCGACAAGGGTGTTAAAATAATAGTAAATAAAGGGAGCAGGCGATATATCGACAAGGGTGTTAAAATAATAGTAAATAAAGGGAGCAGGCGATATATCGACAAGGGTGTTAAAATAATAGTAAATAAAGGGAGCAGGCGATATATTGACAAGGGTGTTAAAATAATAGTAAATTAGTAACAACAAAAATACCTACATAGAATACCTGACAGGTTTTCTTAATTAAAATACATTTATTTTTAATTTACCATTCATTTCATTTTCATGGAAGAATATTCAGCGCACGTATGTCCTAAGGAGTGATTCTGTTCGTTTTGTTACCTTAAAGTTCTAAGATGGGGCACCGCAGGCGCCCGAGATCTACACTATCATCACAAAGGTTACTGAACTATGTGCGCTCGCTTTTAGCAGTGCCTATGTTAAAATATGTTAAAATGTATGCCCGATTACAATTGCACATATACTCATACACTTCTTTGCATAATGAAACTTTAATTATATAATTAAATTCAATGTATCAAGAAATGTGTTGACTCGCTACCAACCAACCCTATAATAGGCACACTTCTAAACCAAAACTGAGTTTTGAAAAAATATCCTGCATGCTAATATTGCTTAACTGTTAAATCTCGTCGTATGGCTGTCTCAACTGGATGTTCTAAATATTGACCCGTACTGTACAGAGTTACTAAGTCGGCTCGTCAACAGTTTAATCATATCTCAAGCATGACAGATTGTGTATGATGGGTGATATGTCGACTTGTGCATTTGACAAAACTAGCGGTGACCACAAATTGCCATTAAACATTTAACACGTGTAAGATAAAATGCTAGAAGTATGCGAGTGATTGATCGTTATAATGTTTAAATCGTTTTTACTTGGAATGATTTGAGAAGAGATACATGAACACGTTATTCTACATCAATGATATAGGATAACATTGTTTGATTCAATGCTTTGATGTGGTTTTGAAGACAATGTCCATTACTGTTAAACCTAACAATACGTACAAAATGAAAGCTTTGTTAGCTTTAAAGGAAGATGCTGTCGTTTACCAATGTATATATATAATTTTACAACCATAATTATAAACAACCTTGTTACTACTTAAATGAATACGAACAGGAGTAACCATACACATATGAAAATCGTACAGGAAATTGTGAAGTGAATGTTATCAACAAAAAGAATGTGTACTTTTTTTTATCAAACTATAAATACATGCATTGATTACATGTATTGTATACAATTTACTCTTTATGTGTGCTCTGTACAAAACATGTAAATATCAACATTGCATACAATATAATAACTAACGTAAGAATACGTACGTACTGGTGGGATGCTCGCTATCCTCTATAAGCTGGGCGATCAATATTATCGATGTGCTGCGCAATGTTCTAAATTATAACCTGGGTCCCGTGATTGCTGCAATACTTGTCTCCGTACTAGTTATACGCTGTGTGTACGTTATGTGCTAGATTTAGCGTTAGTGGGGCGGTACCACCGGTCTAAAAATAGATCTGCGGTTCTGTGTGTTAAATATACAGGGACAAACAATTACAAATTAACTAGTCTATTACATGTATCTCTCTTGTAAATAAGGCTTCAATAAATGCTGCATGATGGAGTTGTATGTTGCATGGATATTTCAACACGAAAAAAGTAAACTGATTTTTTTTTAATACATAATTTTAAGAATCAGAAGTATCACTATCAAATCCCTGAATCCACATTAAGTTTACTTAAGTTCATTCACAGCCTAAGCTTAATGTACTTCAAATTAAAATATACATATCATCGTTAAACATTATAGATTGTACTATATAAAAAAATGCATTTTAATTCAAATTAGAAGAGCATCTGAAATGTTGGTCTTTTCTGTTAATATTAATGGGAAAACGCAGCAATTAAAACGTGTAGGGATAGTTATTTTAAAGTAACTAAACTATAAATACATGTTAACCAAGCGTACAATTTTATAAAACATTCCCGCATGAGTATTGATTCGAAAACTTTCACGTAAAAAATGCATTTGATAAGTAAGGATTATCTAAAATCATCTCAAGTTTCGTTTTCTATTGTCGCAAAGGGACAATAACATACAGTATAGACGTCCTTCAAAGTAAAAATGATTCTTCTAGATCTATATTCAGTGTCAGATTATGTTAATATAGAAACAACAATTTTCTGGATGACATAACCACAAATGCCATGCTTTCTCCGAAATCTTTTCTTATGTTTGTCACAGATCTGTGTCAGTCATCAACCTGTTACAGTAACAAAGATCTGTGTCAGTCAACATTCTGTAAAATAACTCAAATCTGTGTCTGTCATTACCCTGTTACAGTAACAAAGAGCTGTGCCAGTCAGTCATCATTCTGTTACAGTAACTCAAATCTATGTCTGTCATTACCTTGTTATAGTAACTCAAATCAATGTCTGTCATCAGACTGTTACAGTAACAAAGAGCTGTGCCAGTCAGTCATCGCTCTGTAGAGTAACACAAATCCGTCTCTGTTATCACGATGACAAAGTTACTCAAATCTATTTCAGTCATCACGCTTTCAAAGCAAATTAAATCGGTGTCTGTCATCATCCTGTTACATTAACTCAAATCCATGTCAGTCATCTCCCTGTTACAGTAACTCAAATCTATGTCAGTCATCACCCTGTTAATGTAACTCAAATCTATGTCTGTCATCACCCTGTTACAGTAACTCAAATCTATGTATGTTATCACTCTGTTACAGTAACTCAAATCTATGTCAGTTATCATCCTGTTACAGTAACTCAAATCTATGTCAGTCCTCACTCTGTTACAGTAACTCTAATCTATGTCCGTCATAACGCTGTTAATGTAACTCAAATCTGTGTCTGTCATCAAACTGTTACAGTAACTCAAATGTATGTCCGTCATCACACTGTTAAAGTAACTCAAATCTATGTCAGTCCTCACTCTGTTACAGAAACTCAAATCTGTGTCTGTTATAACTCTGTTTCAGTAACTCAAATCTGTGCCAGTCATCAACCTGTTATAGTAACTCAAATCTATGTCAGTCCTCACTCTGTTACAGTAACTCTAATATGTGTAAGTAATCACTCTGTTACAGTAACTTAAATCTGGGTCTGTCATCACGCTGTCAAAGTAACTCAAATCCATGTCAGTCATCACCCTGTTACAGTAACTCAAATCTATGTCAGTCATCACCCTGTTACAGTAACTCAAATCTATGTCAGTCATCACCCTGTTAATGTAACTCAAATCTATGTCTGTCATCACCCTGTTAATGTTACTCAAATCTATGTCAGTCCTCACCCTGTTACTGTAACTCAAATCTATATCTGTCATCACCCTGTTACAGTAACTCAAATCTATGTCTGTCATCACCCTGTTAATGTTACTCAAATCTATGTCTGTCATCACCCTGTTAATGTTACTCAAATCTATGTCTGTCATCACCCTGTTAATGTTACTCAAATCTATGTCTGTCATCACCCTGTTAATGTTACTCAAATCTATGTCTGTCATCACCCTGTTAATGTTACTCAAATCTATGTCTGTCATCACCCTGTTAATGTTACTCAAATCTATGTCTGTCATCACCCTGTTAATGTTACTCAAATCTATGTCTGTCATCACCCTGTTAATGTTACTCAAATCTATGTCTGTCATCACCCTGTTAATGTTACTCAAATCTATGTCTGTCATCACCCTGTTAATGTAACTCAAATCTATGTCAGTCCTCACCCTGTTAATGTAACTCAAATCTATGTCTGTCATCACCCTGTTACAGTAACTCAAATCTATGTCTGCCATTACCCTGTTACAGTAACAAAGAGCTGTGCCAGTCAGTCATCACTCTGTTTCAGTAACTCAAATCTATGTCAGTCCTCACCCTGTTAATGTAACTCAAATCTATATCTGTCATCACCCTGTTACAGTAACTCAAATCTATGTCTGTCCTCTCCCTGTTAATGTAACTCAAATCTATATCTGTCATCACTCTGTAGAGTAACTCAAATCGATGCCAGTCATCAACCTGTCATAGTAACTCAAATCTATGTCAGTCATCACTCTGTTACAGTAACAAAGAGCTGTGCCAGTCAGCACTCTGTAGAGTAACTCAAATCTATGTCAGTAATCACTCTGTTAGAGTAACTTTACTCTGGGTCTGTCATCACGCTGTCAAAGTAACTCAAATCCATGTCAGTCATCACCCTGTTACAGTAACTCAAATCTATGTCAGTCCTCACTCTGTTACAGAAACTCAAATCTGTGTCTGTTATAACTCTGTTTCAGTAACTCAAATCTGTGCCAGTCATCAACCTGTTATAGTAACTCGAATCTATGTCAGTCCTCACTCTGTTACAGTAACTCTAATATGTATAAGTAATCACTCTGTTACAGTAACTTTAATCTGGGTCTGTCATCACGCTGTCAAAGTAACTAAAATCCATGTCAGTCATCACTCTGTTACATTTACTCAAATCTATGTCAGTCCTCACTCTGTTACAGTAACTCAAATCTATGTCAGTCCTCACTCTGTTACAGTAACTCAAATCTATGTCAGTCCTCACCCTGTTACTGTAACTCAAATCTATATCTGTCATCACCCTGTTACAGTAACTCAAATCTATGTCAGTCCTCACTCTGTTACAGTAACTCTAATATGTGTAAGTAATCACTCTGTTACAGTACCTTAAATCTGGGTCTGTCATCACGCTGTCAAAGTAACTCAAATCCATGTCTGTCATCACCCTGTTACATTAACTCAAATCCATGTCTGTCATCACCCTGTTACTGTTACAGTACCTTAAATCTGGGTTTGTCATCACGCTGTCAAAGGAACTCAAATCCATGTCAGTTGTCACCCTGTTACATTAACTAAAATCCATGTCAGTCATCCCCCTGTTAATGTAACTCAAATCTCTGTCTGTCATCACCCTGTTCCAGTAACTCAAATCTATGTATGTTATCACTCTGTTACAGTATCTTTAATCTGGGTCTGTCATCACGCTGCCAAGTAACTCAAATCCATGTCTGTCATCACCCTGTTAATGTTACTCAAATCTATGTCTGTCATCACGCTGTTAATGTAGCTCAAATCTATGTCAGTCCTCACCCTGTTAATGTAACTCAAATCTATATCTGTCATCACTCTGTAGAGTAACTTAAATCGATGCCAGTCATCAACCTGTCACAGTAACTCAAATCTATGGCAGTCATCACTCTGTTTCAGTAACTCAAATCTATATCTGTCATCATCCTGTTACAGTAACTCAAATCCATGTCCGTCATCACCCTGTTACATTACCTCAAATCTATGTCTGTCATCACGCTGTCAACGTAACTCAAATCTCTGTCTGTCATCACCCTGTAACAGAAACTCAAATCTATGTCTGCCATTACCCTGTCACAGTAACAAAGAGCTGTGCCAGTCAGTCATCACTCTGTTTCAGTAACTCAAATCTATATCTGTCCTGCTGTTACAGTAACTCAAATCCATGTCAGTTATCACCCTGTTACAGTAACTCAAATCTATGTCAGTCATCACTCTGTTACAGTAACTCAAATCCATGTCAGTTATCACCCTGTTACATTACCTCAAATCTATGTCTGTCATCACCTTGTTACAGTAACTCAAATCCATGTCAGTCATCATCCTGTTACAGTAACTCAAATCTAGTAATCACTCTGTTACAGTAACTTTAAGCTGGGTCTGTCATCACGCTGCCAAGTAACTCAAATCCATGTCAGTTAGCACCCTGTTACATTAACTCAAATCCATGTCCGTCATCACCCTGTTACAGTAACTCAAATCCATGTCAGTCATCCCCCTGTTACATTACCTCAAATCTATGGCTGTCATCACCCTGTTACAGTAACTCAAATTTATGTCAGTCATCACACTGTTTAATTAACTAAATTCTGTGTGATGACTGTTACATTAACTAAAATATGTGTCAGTGATCACTCTGTTACAGTAACTTTAAGCTGGGTCTGTCATCACGCTGCCAAGGAACTCAAATCCATGTCAGTCATCCCCCTGTTACATTACCTCAAATCTATGTCTGTCATCACGCTGTTACAGTAACTCAAATCTATGGCTGCCATTACCCTGTTACAGTAACAAATAGCTGTGCTAGACATTCATCACTCTGTTTCAGTATCTCAAATCTATGTCAGTCCTCACCCTGTTACTGTAACTCAAATCTATATCTGTCATCGCCCTGTTACAGACCATCCAATTTATGTCAGTCATAACGCTGTTACAGTAACTCAAATCTATGGCTGCCATTACCCTGTTACAGTAACAAATAGCTGTGCTAGACATTCATCACTCTGTTTCAGTATCTCAAATCTATGTCAGTCCTCACTCTGTTACAGAAACTCTAATATGTATAAGTAATCACTCTGTTACAGTAACTTTAATCTGGGTCTGTCATCACGCTGTCAAAGTAACTCA